AACGACAGCGTTGATGCCAGTTGTTGGTCCAAACCTATTGAACGTTGACTTTTGAGTTGACTGATGAGCGTGGTGACGCCCACGGATGGCCGGAGGAGCAAAAACGACGCAGTGGTGGTGGGAATTCTGATCACCATAGATAGTGGTGCTCCAGAAAGAAACGACCAGTGAGGCAACATGGATTTTTTTGTCTCGTCGCTCTGAGTCCATAGGGACTCTAATCACCTCAATCGTAGATTGGACGGATGAGATATTGTGATCAGAAGTTTTAGTTGTTTTTAGAACTTTGGCCGGTGATTGCGGCTGATTCCGGTGGAGTTGGAGGTCGTGTGACCTTTTAAAATTCTTAACTTATCGAGAGCTTTCCATTGACACCGATTATGTCAAAAATGAAGGTCCGGATCTCAAATTGAGTTTTTGGCCATGGATGGTTTTAGAGAGAGAAAGTGTCAGGAGAAATAGAGAGTGCGAGAATTTTTTGTAATTTTAGTACGTATAAAGTCTAGTTTTACACGAGAACTTATCCTTAAAAATTTCCTCCTAAGAGATATAATTTATTATGGCTGGAGATAATTTACTTAGCAGACGAGAAATTTAATTTTTTAACGTGTCCTTTTTTATTATTTACTTATAGTCCAATATTAATCTCTGAATAATTTAATATTGTTTTATATTCTTAGTTGTATACTAAATTGTACTGTTCGACATCTTAAAACTATTTCTGGGCTCAATAGTCAAAACTTGACTAATCTGTATTTTACCTTCTCTCTCTTATAATCATTGCTCGTAACTAATGCTAAAGCTTAATATTATAAGCTCTGTACTTATATTTTCTTATTAATTTATCAATGAAATTATGGAAAATTCTTAATTAATTCTATCTATTAATTATTGGATTTTTCCGGACATTACAATCTACCCACCTTACAAAATTTTCATCCTCAAAAATTTGAATAAATTAGAAATATCCTACTGCTTCGTAACCTACTCCTATAGGGTTTCTTTATTTAGCGATTTTACCTCGAGTGTCTTGGTAATGAATATGACCTTAATTCTTTTGAGGATTTCTCCTCGTGTGCCAAAATCTGAACTGATTTCTCTTTGTAGGTTTGTGTTCACCTTAACTAACTAGTTCCTGGTGCAACAAAATGATGGTTCTAGCACATACCCTTTTCAACATCATTACGTAAATCTCATTGCGCACGGATGCTAATTTCTATGTCGATGATAACATGTACGCATCCTCACCAATTCTCTTTGAGATCTTGAAAGGTCTAATACATCTTGGGGTGAGTTTCCTCTCCTATCGAATCTTATTACATCTTTCATTAGTATAACCTTCAAGAAGTCTAAGTCTCCTACTTAAACCTCTAAAAGAGTACGAGTAAAATGTCATGTTGAACTTTAACTTAGAGCTTGCTGCGTCTTGTACGCTTTCTCTCGGATCCTTGACATGAAATGACTGTCTAGGTTTGAATAATGGACTCGAGAACTCCATGCAACGTTACTATTTTTGTACTCTTATGTGGAACGATTATCATATTACAATATCATGCCTTTTACTTCTTATTAGCCCCATCATGTTGTACCGTTGCGCATATAACCAGTGAGGAGGGGGGTAGTGAACCAAAACCAACTCACTCACGGTTTCATTTCATTCATAAACATAATAACCTTTCCTTATGAAGACCGGTACAAACAGTATTAGTTTTTTTATCTTTTATCATCATTTCTTTATACGTCATTTTACTGTTATCTTTTCTCAGTATGACGGTAATTTTAATCTTTTTACGCATCTTTATCCAATTCTATCAATTTCCTATGAAATTTGACTTTTTGTGAATGTTTGACCTTTTGTTCACTTTGACCTTAACATTGACCCGGACTTTTCACAGATTGCAATTCTACTACTACTTGAACTCCATAAGTACATTCACAACATGTAACGCCCCGAAGAATTAAACAAGATTAATTGAGATAATTAAGATTTATTAGTGTGCCTAATCTGATTTAATTAATTGATTATTGATTAATAAATGTTTCTGACATGTAAATTTAAATAATTCCAAGGTATTTAAATATTCTCAGTAATTACATTTTTATCCAGAAGTGTGTATGGGCACGTTTCTGGACTGTCATTTTAAATATTTTGACACATGTCTTTTCTTTTCTTTTCTTTTCCTTTTTCCTTTCTTTCCTTCCCTACCTGTGCGACCCTTTCTTTCCCTCACTCTCACTCTCATTCTCACTCTCTCTCCCCCGTTCAAATCTTCACCAAATCAAACCAGATTTCGAACCAAAGCGGAATTTCAAGAAGTTTTCAACGCCAAGAGAAGGATTCGAGGTAAGGTTTCTGAAAAACTTCTCTTGAATCTCAGATTTTCAGATTTAAAAACTTATTTTTGGTTCGAAATGGATTTTGAGTAAAACTCTGGTAAAAATTAGAGATCTTGGGTTCTTTGGACTTGATTCAATACCTAGAACTTGGATCTAGTGGTTTTCCCTTACGATATTTCAATTTGGGACTTGGATTTGCAAGTTTTTCCTGATTTTCTTCAGATCGGCCCTTCTGGCCATCTTGCCCTAATTCCACCAGTCGACCTATGCAGTCGGCCGGTCAGCATTACATCAGGTCGACATGTGCGGTCGACCGAAGTACACACCACCGGTCGACCGGTGGTGTTGCACTGCGTTGTCACCGGTCGACCAGTGTACACGGGGTTTGACCCTGTTTTGCTTGGAAAACCATGTTTTAACCTTGATTTTGAGGATAACCCAAATTAGCTTCATTTGGGGACCTAGAGTAAATGGATTAGCATCCTTAATCCATGTTTTGGAATCAAAACCCTTGGAATGATGATTTGAAACATGAGATGGTTTGTGAAACCGGTAATTGACTTATGCCACACTAATAGGAAATCAAAGGATATAATTGAGACTGAACTACTTTAGGAATGAGAATTGAATCCTAAAGTGTTGTCTTGTATTAGTGCTAGCTGAGAACTCGGATTGAGGGGCTTGAGGAAGTGGAAGCCAGAGTAGTGCACCGCTAGCCACAGGTTTGATATTTGAGAGGTAGGATTTCTTACCCCTTTCTTTGTGAGCCTGTTCAAAAGGATTTTTGGCCTTGCAAATGTTTTAAAGAAAGGGCATGTTTGTGAAAGAAAAATATTATAACCCCCATGGCTTGTTATAGATTCTGGGGAGTATAATGAACTGTTTCATAAAGTTTAATGAATGATTTCTTAAGATAAGAGATCTTGCAATTCGGTAAACCGGCTGATGGCCTAGATAGGATGTGGAGAGTGCATCCTTGGGGGCAGGACCCGAAACCTGGCCTGGGGTGATATGACTTGTGCACTTGGTTGTGTAAGTAATTTATCATAGTATAAATTACTTGCTGATGCCTGTAATATGAAGATTTTCAGTTATATCTCCTTTGAGAAAAAGGATGTGAGGTTCCGGCTGTTATGTTGGAACTGAATGTCTTATTTATTTATTTACTTGCTTACTCATTTATTTACTTATTTACAAAGTTATTTCAAAATATATCTTACTGGGTCGTTCGCTCATGTTTTATTGTTTTATAAATGTTAACCGCTCCCAGGCGATTCTAGAAGCAGTGCGGAGTAGTTGAGTTGCTACCACCTGATTAAGAGAGGATTGTGTTCATCCTCCTGGTGTACGAATGTAAGAATTTGTAAATTCTGTAAACTCTGATATTTGGATTTCTAGACTGTGGTTGATGTCTGTAATGTATTTACGTGTCATGTATGTACGATACTAAAGATCCTATAGATAGATCATGTAGGTGTAACCCTGAACAGTGTTAGAGGCGGGAGTTTTTAGCCTCTTGAGATGTTCTTGTAATTTATTTTCTGCACAATAGTGGGGCTCTTTTGGGAATTTTCTTAATATTGTATTCTTATTCGTGTTTAACCCCTAATCGAGCCTCCACATCACCGACCCCAATCCCGGGGCGTGATAGAGTGGTATCAAAGACGTAGGTTTAGAATCCATAGGATTTTACATACATGTGTGACATCAGGAATCCACTAAACAGTCTAGTTTCTTTTTAGTTAAAGGAGATGCCGTTGCGTCGTAGGTCGGTTAACAATCCGGCACCACAGAATCAAGAATTCATGGATGTCATGTATGCTTCTTTTCAAGGCGTGGCCACACGAACTCAGAACGAGTGACCATCTGAGGATAGGAAGCAGAGTTACTTCCGTGAGTTTAGACGTGCACCTATCCCCACATTCAATAGTGAGGGAGGACCCCAGGAAGTGGATTACTGGTTCGAGTCCATAGTTAAACACTGGAACACTATGGGAGTGTCGGAGGAATATTGGATAGAATTCGCCGTGTATAAGATGGAGGGCTAAGCAAGCAACTAGTGGAATCAAGTAAGAAGAAGACTTGACATTACGAGAATGACTTGGGAACAGTTTGAAGCTATCTTCAATGAACAATACTTCCCTCAGAGCTATAGGGACGAGAAGGCAATGGAGTTTATGACCTTGCAATAGGGTGATATGTCGATATGGGAATACGAGGCTAAGTTTAATGACTTGTCCCGCTTTGCGAAATCTCTGGTGGAGTCTGAGTATTTGAAATGCCTGAAATTTGATAAATGTCTCAAGAATTCTGTAAGGAGACCCTTAGTGGCTCTAAGGATCCAAAATTTCCGACACCTGGTGGCTGCTGCTACAAGCGTGCAATAGGATAACTTAGCCTATCAGCAAAGTAAGCAAGCAGCTGGTTGAGTTTCTATTTCTGGTGGACCTTCTGCTTCAGGCGGGCCACAGCGGAGTGGTAGAAGAAACTGCAATCAAGGGCAGGTTAGTGGAGAAATGATTAGTGGTGGTAGTAGTTCCTCTAAGAGTGACAAAAGTGGTCCCTACAGCCCTAAGTGTCATTATTGTGGGCAAGTTAGCCACATTAGAAGGAACTGTCCAAATCAGAATTAGCTACTGACTCAGCCACAGTTGCCAACGCTGATGCCGTACCCTCATGTGCCAACCTATCGTCCGCCTCAATATCCACAGTTTCAGCCTCAAGCATCGGGACTGGTGCAGATACCTCCACCACAACAATATAGGCCGGGGACCCAAAGGCTTAATATTGCTTATAAAGGAAAGGGAAAAGCACAAGGACAAATGTATACCCTGACAGGAGGCAGTTCTGGAGGACAGGCCAGCAACACGATGGCTGAGGGTATGATCATAATCTCTGACTCTCTAGCACATGTATTGTTTGATACTGGTGCTACCCATTCCTTTATATCAAGTTCTTTTGTGCAAACCTTAAAACTGAAATCTAAGAGTTTAGAAACCCCGATGATGTTAAACTCCCCATTGGGTTGTGTGAAGATATTTAGCCTCTGTAGATTGTGTGAAATCACGATTGGAGGTGAGCGATTGAGAGCTGACCTGATAATCCTTCCGATGAGCCTGTTTGACGTGGTACTCAGAATGGATTGGTTAGCAGGATGCGGTACGATTGTTGATTACTACCATAGGAGAGTAAACTTGCGACTAATTCTGGAGCGGTAATTACCTATCAAGTGATATGAACCCAGTCCTGAAAGAACGACTATTGCGATGTAGCATTGGGGGACGGAGAAACCTGGCATGCTTTTCTTTCCTTTCTGGTTTAGAAGGTGAACCAGAGGTAACAAGAGATAATGCAGGAATTCCTGTGGTGGATGAGTTCGTAGATGTATTTCCTGTTAAGTTACCTAGTTTACCGCCAGATCAGGAAATTGAATTCAGCATTGATCTGATTCCGGGAACGGCTCCTATCTCCATTCTTCCCTACCGAATGGCACCTGCATAAATAAGAGAACTAAAGAAGCAGCTTGGTGAGCTGGCAGAAAAGGGGTATATCAGGAATAGTACTTCCCTTTGGGGTGCACTAATGTTGTTTGTGAAGAAGCACGACGGATCACTCCGGTTGTGCATTGACTATCGTCAATTGAATAGAGTGACTGTGAAGAATAAATACCCACTACCGAGGATCGATGAGTTATTTGATCAGTTGGGTGGGTCACGGTATTACTCTAAGATTGACTTGAGGTTTGGGTACCATCAACTTAAAATAAAGGAGGAAGATATCCTGAAAATAGCTTTTTGAACTCGGTATGGGCATTTTGAGTTTTTGGTGATGCCTTTCGGGCTGACAAATGCCCCAACTGCGTTCATGGATCTAATGAACCGGGTCTTCTGGCCGTACTTAGATCAATTTGTCATTGTCTTCATCGACGACATTCTGGTCTATTCGAAGACTTGGGAAGAACATGAGCAGCATTTGAGAATCTTTCTTCAAACTCTTCGTGAACACCAGCTGTATGCGAAAAAGGAGAAGTGTGACTTCTCGCTAACAGAGGTGAAGTTCCTTGGCCATGTGATATCCGGACAAGGAATTTCTATGGACCCTTCCAAGATCGAGACTGTGCTACAGTGGGAAAGGCCGAACAACGCGGTAGAGATTTGAAGTTTCCTCAAGGATAAGCAAAATTCTTCTCCTGTTGATGTTCCTAAAGCTAACCTTGTTGTTGCTAGTGATTTTTCAGCAAAGGAAACATTCAAGAACGGTCCTAAGAAAGGCCAGAATCAAGGGAATCGCAAGAAGCAGAATCATGTCAACAAAGGTGGCTACAAGATTGAAAAGAATAAGGCTAAGCTGCAATGCTATGTGTGTGGAAAAATTGGTCATAAGGCTTACCAATGCTACAAACGTCATGGACAGCAAAAGGCAAATGAAAAACCTGCAAATCAAGCGAACCTCGTTGAATCAGATGAAGTCATTGCTGCAGTGGTCATTGAAGCAAATCTGGTGGAGAACAAGTTTGATTAGGTGCTGGACACGGTAGCTTCCAGACACTTCTGCGCCAACAAGGACCTGTTCCACGACTTTGAAGAGGCAGCAGAAGGGGAGTTCGTCTACATGGGCAACCAAAGTGTCGCTGGAGTCTTTGGTAAAGGGAAGATCTTCCTTAAACTCACTTCTAGAAAAACTTTAGCTTTAAACAATGTGCTTTATGTTCCTTCTCTAGGTAAAAATTTAGTTTATGGTGCTTTATTGAACAAGGCTAGTCTAAAAATTGTGTTAGAGGCTGATAAAGTAGTTTTGACCAGAAATGGGGAATTCGTGGGGAAGGGATATTTGAATGAGGGTCTCTTTGTGTTGAACATGGTTTCTAAAATTGCTAATGGTAGTTCTTCTGCTTCTGCTTATATTGCTGAATCTGTTAATTTATGGCATGAGAGACTTGGTCATGTGAACATAGCTTTTGTTAAAAGACTTAAAAACTAAACTTGATTCCTGCATGTGAATGAGTTTTCTAAATGCTCTGTTTGTGTAGAAGCTAAATATGCCAAGAAACCATTTAAATCTGTTGAAAATAGGAAGATATAACTTTTAGAATTGATCCATACAGATTTGGCTGATTTCAAGAACACATTTAGTAAGGGAGGTAAAAAATATTATGTGACTTTTATAGATGACTTTTCTAGATATACTAGAGTTTATCTCCTAAGGACAAAAGATGAGGCTGAGGGAATGTTCTTGAAATATAAGACAAAAGTGGAAAATCAACTGGATAGAAAAATAAAAAGGGTTAGGATAGAGGAGGGGAATATGGTACTACTCACCTTAAGGAATTCTGTGAAAAGAATGGGATTATACATGAACACAGTGCCCCTAATACTCCCCAACAGAATGGTATAGCTGGGGAAAAAAATAGAACTCTTAAAGATATGATGAATGCTATGCGTATAAGCTCAGGTTTAGCTGATAACATGTGGGGGGAAGCTGTTCTTTCTGCTTGTTATATTCTTACTATGATAAAATAAACGAACATGTGGTTTCTGCTTTCTTGATTGATGAAGACCCTAAAACTTATAAAGAGGCAATAACTTCCATAGATGCTACCTTTTGGAAAGCAACTATAAAAAGTGAGCTAGATTCCATTTTGACAAACCATACTTGGGACTTAGTAGACTTGCCTAAGGGGTATAAACCTATTAAATGTAAGTGGATCTTTAGGAAGAAATTGAGGCCTGATGGTACCATTGATAAATTCAAGGCTAGGCTAGTGGTAGTAGGTTATGCCCAAAGGAAGGACATTGACTATTTCGACACTTATTCTCCCGTTACTAAAATTGCAACAATTAGGACTCTAGTTGCCTTGGCTGCCATTTTTAACTTACCTGTGCATCAAATGGATGTGAAAACAGCCTTTTTAAATGGTGACTTAGAGGAAGAGATATACATGGAACAACCCGAGGGTTTTGTATTTCCAGGTTAAGAGAATAAAGTGTGTAAGCTTAAAAAATCCCTATATGGTCTTAAACAAGCTCCAAAACAATGGTATGAGAATTTTGATCACATCTTAGTAACCAATGGTTATGTGGTGAACACTTCAGATTCTTGTCTTTATTCAAAAATGTTTGGATCTGATTGTCTTATTATGTCTTTATGCAGATGACATGTTAATCTTTGGTACTAATGTTAATGTGGTCAACGAAACCAAGAGGTTTTTGTCCTCTCAGTTTGATATGAAAGATTTAGGAGAAGTCGATGTGATTTTAGGGGTTAAAATAGCAAAAATGGAACATGGTTTCTCAATGTGTCAATCTTATTATGTAGAGAAAATGTTGAAAAGATTCAACTGTTTTGATGTGTTGCCTATAAGAACTCCCTATGATCCAAGCATACACCTTAAAAAGAATAAAGGTGATAGTGTGTCTCAGTCTGAATATGCAAAAATCATAGGTAGTGTGATGTTCCTCATAAACTATACTCGTCCTGACATAGCCTATGCAGTTAGTAGATTGAGTCGTTACACTCACAATCCTAGTAATGAACATTGGAATGCACTTTATCGTTTGCTTAAATATTTGAAAGGAACCATGGATTGGGGTTTGCACTTTAGCAAGTTTCCCGCCGTTTTGGAGGGATTTTGTTATGCTAACTGGGTGACTGATAACGATGAAGTGAGTTCTACTAGTGGTTATGTTTTCACCTTAGGTGGAGGAGCTATTTCTTGGAAATCTGCTAAACATACATGTATTGCTCGCTCCACTATGGAGTTTGAATTTATCACCCTTGAGTTAGCAGGTCAAGAGGCAGAATGGTTGAGGAACCTGCTGGCGGATGTACCTTTGTGGGGTAGATCAAATGTTCCAGTCTCTCTACATTGTGATTCTCAGGCAGCTATCAGAATTTCCAAGAACAGTGTGTATAATGGTAAGAGAAGGCATATTCGCATAAGACACGGTGCGGTTAAACAGTTATTGAGGAATGGTGTTATTTCGTTGGATTATGTGAAATCTGAAAGAAATTTGGCTGACCCTCTTACTAAAGGTCTAACAAGGAAAAAAGTTTTGGATTCCTCAAGAGGGATAGGTCTTAAGCCCTGTGTTTGAGGAGAAGTGTGGTGGACACCTTATTTTGAGGTTAAACGAAGCCACATTGATCCTTGAGATGTTTTCCATCCTCATGAATTGTATTTTCTCGAGCCATTGGCTCTTGTATGAAGCTATAGCTCACTTTTGAGTGGTCCTAATGAGACGGACTTGATGACTTCATTGATTTTGTGAGGTTGAGCATACATATGCTCTTAATGGATCCATAGCCTTGTTTGGTGGTGCTATAGAGACGCACTTGATGGATTCACCTACGTGAGTGTGGGGGGTTTGGCCGCCTACTATGAAAGACTTGGGGCTGTCTTTCTAGAGCACTCATGAGTCCCGAGGTATGCGCATGGCCTTATAAAAGCGCTATTGTTTGTATCGCGGAGATCTTTTAAGTCTAAGGGTTTGATGAGTGCTGTGGGGGTCTCAAACAAGGTACACTAAGTTCAAGAGTACTTTTGTGGATTTGTTTGTTGCCTCACTTCACTATGTGCCAATTCAATCGGAAGACATTGACACTTAAGCACTTGACCCTTCTAGTGCCCAGAACTGCTTGTTTTCTGCTTGCCATTTGTGGGGGATTGTTGGAAATGGCAGCAGCTTTCTTTGGTGAGCCCGTTTATCCTTTCGGCTTAATTTCTTTAATCTATTGGGCCCTAATTAATTGTCTGTTGAATTGTTCAAATCAGTTACGATTTTCCAGTTCCTCCACTCTCCCACTCCCACTACCGGTTCTTTCTCCTTTATTTCTGCAAATTTCGTTTTCCTTGGGTGGGCACGTTCATATCTGAAAAATCTATTTATGAGTGGGGCTACTGCATTTGAGAGATATGAAAAAACTCTTGACTTTAAAATCTGCCCTCTCTGTTTTCTCTATTCTCCCTGTTCTCTCATATTTTTCCTCTGGGCTATTACTTGATTGATCTCCAATTTTCCTGCCGCGAGGGCACGCGTCTGGAGAAGGCTGTGTTAACCTTGGGGAGCGACCGGCGTTCAGACTTGCACCAAGGGTCTGCCGAAATCGCTTGTAAGGCAGTGGACAACCACGGCACAGCCATTTGTTTGATAAGCTTATTCTTTTATTTACTGCCTTTTGATTTCGTTTCTTGCCCTGCTAGTCTCAAATTTCAGCTTCTTCTCCAACAGGAACCACCAAAAAAATCAAAAAAAAAAAAAAAAAAAAAACCAAAAGAAAAAAAAAAAAAAAAAAAACCAACAGACCCTAGAACTCCATTTACAGAGAAATCAGCGAAGAAAATAGAGAAATCGAACAAAAAAGAGGGAGACCGAGGAAATCCAAAAAACAGAAGAGACTAGTGGTGGAAGCAAAGAACCACCGAGAATGGCCCAAAACCCAAAATGAAAAAACCAACCCAAAATGAAAAAACCAAGGACGCAAGGCAGGAAGCACCGAGAGTAGCCCCATCCAACCTAACATCAAATGACGAAAATGCCCCCATCAAGAATTAGAAGAAGAGAAGAAAGAAAAAGGGCATACTGGGGCAATATGCTAGAATGACTATCTAATAAAGTGAAATTAACAAAATGACTTTCTTTTATTTTTTATAAAGAAAGACACTTACTCATTCTTTATAAAAAAAGATCATTTTGTAAATAAAATTTTTTAAAAAGTTATTTTATTAATAAAACTTTTCAAGAGAGTTATTTTTATAAAGGTCTTGCATATTGAAGAGAGAAAATTTTTAATTTTTAATTTTTACAATTAAAGTCTTTAAAAATTATCATATTTAATTTTTTTATACCGTTAAAAAAATTTTAAAAAATATCAAATCTCAATTTAAATTAAAAATTTAAATTTACAAAGCAACGAGGCCTAAAAACTCACTTCAAATTTTTTTTCCCTTTTCATAGAATGACGTTAATCACTTCATTTGGGTACAAGTTTTGTTTTCCCTAATAAACAATGATTTGGAAAGAGTTGGGCCCACACTGAATTTGTATATATAAATAGAAGACGTTTTTTTTTCTCTCTTTTAAATTGTTGTTGTAACGTGATATATCCTATTCCTAGCTACCAAAGACTCTCCTCTTGTCCTTTCGAGGAAAAAAATAATAGATAGGTAAAATAAAAAATAAAAGGCTCTTCTTGTCTTCTGCTGAGCCAAAGAAAAGTCTTCTTCAGTTCTTCTCCAACTAAGCATTTTTTAGCAACAAAAACGGAAAATAAAAGAAAATAAAAGAGATTTGCTTGTATACTCTCTGTTTATTATAATATAAAAAGTCATGAGTGTATATTCCCCATTTATTTTACCGATTCGAGTTTTCAGTTTTAAATTTTTACAGTTAAAAATTCTTAAAAAATTTCACATCTAACTTTTTCTGTTACAGTTAAAAACTTTAAAAAAATATCATATCTCAATTTAAATTGAAAATTCGAATTCGCGAAGCAAACGAGGCCTTAAATAGAAATGATATAGATAATTCGAATAAAAAATTAAATTAAAATGCACTAAATTAAAATAAAATAAAATCGTAACAAATTAAACAAAACAAAATAGAGCTAATATATAACACAACGAAATAATTTAAAATCTTTCTTCCCTCTTTATTTCCATTTTCCTTTTTTGTTTTTTTTACTTCTTTTTCCTTTTTCGATGCTACTCAATAAGAATACTGTAAATCATTCAAATAAAAAAATTAAAGAAAAATAAATTAAAATAAAATAAAATCACACCAAATAAAGAAAAAAAAACAAATTAAACAAAACAGACTAATTAACACAACAAAATAAGTTTAAACTTTTTTCTTGACTTTATTTTTCCGCATCGTTTGCTTCAAGTCTTTTCACGCTTTTATCTTCATTTCTTTTATTTATATCCTTTTTTATTCTTCTCTCTCTTTTTAAAAAAAATTTGTATGACTATTATTTTAAATGAATCATGCGTGCGAATCGCGCTAATTACTAGTTCAATTCTAAAAGTCTAACTATTCTGCTAAAACTTACACTTTTGGCCTCTTTGATAATTGCCGTCTCTGTTTAGAAAGAATGTAGTACATGGATGGCATGTGGTGGTCTTAAGATTGATAATAAAATGGTGAAGAAAAAACAAGTTGGTCTAAAAAAAATAATTCTAAAAGAAAAAGAAAGATCTATACTAGGTTGCATAATCTGGTTTTGTTCTTTTGAGATTTTGTTTTTAAAAGAAATTAGTTAGTTTATCATATTCTCTTAAAAACATCATGTGCCATCGTGTTAGATTTCAACTTAAAATAGTTAGTTTATAAAGAAAGTGGTCGAAATTGGATATTTAAAAAAGAAATATACTGAAAACACCATGTGTTTTGATTAAATATCATGTTTATTCTTTTTATTATACAGATGCCCAAAACACCTCCTGTAATTATAAATCAAACTTAAAACATCCGCTTTAAAATTTTTAAAAATACTAAGATTACCATTCTTAATCTTTATCAAATATAATGTAAAATATTACTAAACAAAAATATTAAGTAAAATCAATCTTAAAGAATGAAAAACTTATTGGAGATGCGGAGCCTAATCATGACTGAAAAAAGGAGAGAAAAAGAAGAAGAAAAAAAAATAAAAATAAAAATAAAAAATAAAGCCGAGCGCTGCGGCCCCGGGCGTAGCAGCGTTGAAAGCAGAGAGAGCCATGCTTCAGCAATTTGATGGTCGAACAATATTATAAATCTTCCAGCAAAAAGTCATTAAAGGATAATATGATCATGATCAATCTATCTACCACTCGGAAGCGTTACAGTCACTATGTTTTTAGAACGTGAATATTCTGATGTGGAGCCCTCTTCCATTGAACTCCTTTCCATGAAGAAACCAGGCTCTTTAGGTTGAGGCAAGATAGATCCCTCATTTTCCAACATGAAAACCACGGACGACATTGTTGGTCTGTCGTATGGGAACTTTTGGACACATAACAAACCCACTTGAATGCATCTCAGCACCTGAGATTCGACGTATGAATCATTGAAACACACGTTCATTAGATCCAAGGCTTTGCCTTGATTCCACAGCAACCATGCCTGAAACAATTCATACAATTCTTAGACATGTATTAGCCAAAACTACATGGATTGAAAAAAGTTATCATCCGTTGTTCTTACATGTCCCAAAAGGTTATGCTGGTGATTTTTGTGATTGAAGCTTCTATTCTTTTTACCGCTAACGGTCTCTAACATGACCACACCAAAGCTGAAAACATCTGATTTGACAGAGAACTTCCCATCAATTACGTACTCTGGTGATATGTAGCCACTGCATAAATCAAAACGTTAGTCATAAGAAACAAGCATCAGTTTAGGTAAAAATGTGATCATGCTTTATAACTCACTATGTTCCAACAATTCTTTTTGTTTTCTCTTCTCTATCATCATCACCGAAAATCCTAGCCAAACCGAAATCTGAAATCTTAGGGTCAAGATTGTTGTCTAGCAAAATATTACTCGCTTTGAGATCTCGGTGAACAATCCGAAGTTTAGAATCTTGGTGTAGGTAAAGAAGACCTCTTGCAATGCCTCGGATAATGTTGAAGTGCTTGTGCCACGGCAGTGTTGTGCATCTTTTGCCATCTGCAAAAAATTTAAACATCTCCTTATCAGTTAATTTTCAATTAAAGTGCCGGAAAGGCCTTCAAAATTTAATATGCAAAGTTGAAAAGAGGTTCCAACCAAAGATGTAATGGTCCAAGCTCTTATTTGGCATGTACTCATAGATCAATATTCTTTCTTCCTTTTGAATACAACAACCCAAAAGAGCAACAAGATTCCTATGTTGAAGCTTTACAATCAATTCGACTTCATTCTTGAACTCTGTAAAACCCTGTCCTGAATTCTTTGACAGTCTCTTCACTGCAAGATCTTGTCCTGTAGAAAGTTTCCCCTGCAAGATGTTATTGAAATATATACTTCATGAGTTAAAACCTAGTGAAGAAGTTGACACACTATGGATGGATTAAATCTATACAAAAAAATATAACCTTATAAACAGGACCGAATCCACCAGATCCTATAATATTTGCTGCGGAAAAGTTGTTTGTAGCTGCAACAATTGCAGCCAAATCAAATGTAGGCAGGTCTACATCTTCATCCTTGCTTTTACCTATTAGTTTAAACATGTAAAATATCCATGACATACAATCCAATTAATTTTCAGAAATATATTCAGACAATGAGTGGTGATGGAAACACTTGTTTACCTTTTACCCTTTTTCTCAGTTTCCACCTTATGCACCAGAATGCGACACAAAACATAAACGCTCCAGTGCTCAACGAAGCCGACAAGATGATTTTTAGTGTTTTCTTCTTATTCGCATCACGGATTGATTCTAAAATGACATGGCAATATCAAGAATTTAAATAATTTCTTGCAAGTGTTTGTAATCAGTATGACAACCTGGCAAAGAGAGAATCTAGTGAAGCCATACTTACTCATTTCTGCAGCAGAGAGTCGTATATAGAGATCTTGTTCGCTACCTTTCGCCGGCATATCTCGGATATCAATCAAGTCACCAAACCACCTCAAGCAGCCACTGCCTCCTTTCGTGATATCAGAATTAGCAAAAGCGATACAAGAACAGTTGTTCAAGCAAGCCTCCTTGCATTCTCTAAGGTTCATATTCTTGTTAAATGAAAAATCCAACAAGTCTGGCAATTTTACCTCGGCAACCTTTTCAAATCCTTCTCCTTTTTCGCAACCTAATGGGGTCTTCCTCACGCATCCCTTGGACCAAGTTAGACCTCTCCATTCTTCTTCAGAGCTTGGTGTGTAGCCCGTTAAACAGTCGCATAGTATTGGATATTGACCACTTGTACACATTGCATTAGCGCCGCAGTGGCCATAACTATCACATTGTTCATCAGTTGGCGATGTGTACATAGCAGTCCATTTAGAAGTTTCATTCAGCAAAACAAGATGCTGCACGAAACCCGAATAATTCAACTGTGCTAGCGAAATCGTAGAGTTGTCAGTACGCTTAACCATTAGGTATGCCTCCTCCTCATTAAATACATGTACAATATTGAAAACGGTTAGCACAAGCTGCTCTTTCACTCCACTGAATCGAATTCCGTTCCATATACCCGACCGAAATTTTTTAGTCATATCCATCTTAAGTGAACTTTGAAACAGCCCACCGGTTACGTTCATCCTGTAAGTAACATCACCACTGGATGGATCATCGGCGCTTTTCCACGATGTCAAGTATCGTTCGAAGCCAGTATTCAAGTCCCATCCAAGCTTCATGCCATTCAAGAGTGTGTCAGTAGGATAATCAAAGCTTTGCCATAGATAAATGTCACTGTTCGCATTTTCTTGCTCTTGAAGCACCAGATTTCCCCTGTCCAAAAGCAGAGCAATCGGACTATTTGCAACGTTGCTTGATACATTTGGGAACCAAATGACGCTCCTTGTGCTATTGAGAAGAACAAGTTTCCCTGCATTAATGGCGAATTCGCCATTTGGCTCGGTCAGCGGGGTGTTTCTGTTGGCAATCCAGACAATTGTTTCAGGCTTCCTCTTGTACCACATTCCCAAGTACCTGTTCTTTGAATTTCCGGGGGGAGAGAAGAAGCCTATCTCAAATGTTTGGCCCGGGGAAATCAAAGTAGTAAGGTTACTATCATCTTTGAGTGATTGGTTCGGAGTTATGGCATCAATATGAGCAGCCCAAGAGAATTGCAACAATGGTAGGAGGGAGAGCACGAAAGAGATCAAAATGGTGCAAAGTTGAAGAGCTTCCATTGATAAGCTTAGTGCCTTATGTTAGTACTTGGTTCTTCAGAATTGTCAAGGACTAAAAAAGAGACAGTCAGACTTATTTTTTTCTTTTTTGACGTTAAGACTTTTGATAACACGTCAAGTTTGACCCACAATACTTGATTCGTTTATAGCGAATATGAGCAACTTGGGGATTTCTATATATATATATTTTCTATATATATATATATATACAAGGGAATAATTCCTATATTTGACAAAGTCATCTGAGAAGTAGGTTGAGTCAATGTGCATGTATAACTGTGGACGCCATTGTTGATTTATCTTCTTGATATATATATATATATATACATATATAATTTAAAAGAATGATATTAAGAGGATTAGGACACCTCAATTATTTTGGCACCCCCTAATTCTCTCATCTTATAATCAAACCCCCACCCAAAAAAGAAAAAAAGCACAACCACGAAAAGTCTAAAACAAAAGTCAAACTTGAAGCCAACGGCTGGTGCTAAGGCAAAAGAAACAGACACGAAGCATGATAAAATAGTAAAAAAATAAAGAAAAACCATCCGATGAAATTGACAAGCTAGAAACTGATGACAAACGGTCGACGAACTTAATTAATTATTTCCCAAAAGACACTTTGGAACTACGTTGTAAATTATTTATTGATCATAATTAGTTAATTAATTAATGCAATGTATACGGGGAAATGATACTTAAAATGAGGAGTACGTTTCTAAGAAATTCCATAAGACAGAATAATTGGCTTATTATTATCACAGAAATGTTCTTTCAATTTCGCAAATTGAGCTCCGATAATCAGTTCTATGCATAATAGTCCTCATCAAAAAAAACCTTGCTCGTAAAACCCATAGGAAAAAATATAGCAAAAGGGAAAAAAGTGCCTAAGCTCGTTGTGGAGGTAGGTTTCCAAAAGTCAATTTGTATTAGGGGTTAATGACCAATTCACGGAGTGATAGATATTTGATCGGTTTGCCTAAGTCGATCTAGTGGATGAACGACAAAATAAAGTGTAGAAAATAAAGAGAGACACCGAATTTTATAATGGTTCACTTGTAATGAAATAGCTATGTCTACTGTTTGTTTGCACTATGTAGAGAGAAAGTAGTATAATAAAGCTTAAGAGAGAAAATAATGACGGACATAGAGAGAGTAGGTCGGCTCTAGGGCATAAAACGCAAGTTGTGATGTGTTTTAGGCGTCTTCAAATTGCCTTTCTGTTGAACAAATGCCTCCTTTTATAGCTGCAAAATTTGGTTGCTCATTTAAGGCTGGTTTCCCTTTCTTTAATAGAATTGACTTTCCTGATTGTGTCTTTATTCAACTTTCCTTGTAGAATTCGTATATTATGAGATTTGGACCACCTTGGTGCAATTTGGTGGCTTCCTAAAAACCCAAAACAAAATGTTTTTTTTAGAAGATTCTTAGAATATTCGTCAGAGCAGTCAATTCCTCTGCTCTGTCGAGCGCTCGTAGTCGACTCCAGATGTTGACATCGTTCCAGGTTCATCTTGGTTCTGGATTGTCTTCTAGCTGTCTTGGACTGTTGAACCCTTCTAGATGGTCTCCTTAGTTAATTATTGTGACAACCCTAACTTTTGGTCATCATCCTATGCTCATACTTACCATTTCTTAACCTCTACCATTTACTAGTTATAACTTCTTAAAATTTCAGGCCATTTTTTTCATTCTTACCATGTACGTTAAAATAATGTAGCATTTAGCTAGCATTCTGTTTTTAGCCATTCCTAAAATGATGTAGCATTCTGACAACATTCTGTTACATTAGTCATCAAAATACATAAAACACTATTTATTTTACATATATAGTTCAGCAGCGTTTCCAAAACACGTGATGCATCCACAACCCACTTGCCCACATTCCACTGCTACATCCTCTCTGCATGCCCATCAATAAGTTTCAGGGAGCCGGTGTCTTACCCGTGCTTCCTACAACACGAACAAACTTAATGAGCTTTCGCTCAGCAAGTATCAATAGGTCATAACAGATACAATAATTATGCATACCCATATATGCATTCATTACATATATCCTAATACATTTTGTACTACTAAAACGTATATGTTTTATGTTCTTCTTCTTTCATTTCATACTTTGTTCAGCTTTCATCTCATTATAGTCGTCCATATTGTATTTTTACGTTTTGAACGACTTTCATTTTTGTGTTTCTCATTCTTTTCATTCTTCCTTACAGATACCATACCGTTATATGGAATGGTTTTTGTGTTTCATTTTCTTGTCTTTTACTTTTTATGGGCCCTGTCCTGTTGTACCAGAGCGCGCATAACCAGTGAGGAGTGAGGTAGCTAACCAATCCAACTCAGTCACGGTTTCATATCTTTCATAGTCTCATAATAACCTTTCCTTCGAAGGCTGGTACAAAAAGGACGTTTAGTCTCTTACTGTTTATCAATTTTTTCATTGAAACGGTAACTTTAGTTAAATCTTATGAATTTGTGCATTTTTGAACAATTTAACATGAGATTAACTTTTTTTATTAAAGTTTAACTCTTTATTGTAACTTGACATTGACTTATCATCGATACATACTTAACATTGTATCTATCTAACATTCAAAATTCTACAATATGCACAAATTTTGTGCAACATAGAAAAGTAAGCTTGTTCGCGATATAGCCATAGAAAAACTATTGTACTTACAGAAGTTTCGCTAACAATGCGTCCTTTGTCTCCCTTGCTACTGTCCGACTTCAACCGTTAATTGGTCCTATTGCATAAATTTTTCGATCGTTAGATTCAAAATCTAAGATCAATAATTACATTGAAATTTACGTCGGAAAGATCTACAATCCTTATGTTTGGTATTCAACCTCAAACTATTTCCTATCTCAAGGATTTACACTAAAACCGTGCAAATTACTCAGTCATGGGCCTAATTTTAAGTTTCGGTCCAAAATTGTAAATTCTCGTTGTGTTCGTTTTCTAACCATCACTGATTATCAAAACATCTTTCTTTTCACACTTTAATCCCATATTCCTCTTGAAATCTAGTTTTAGTTCAAATTACTCAAACTAAATTTCAGCTGAGTTTCGCCTTATTTTTCTCGTTTCCTGAGTTTTCAATAACTCGTTCTACTTCCGATTCTGGTACCTGGAGTCAAGATTCACATTCCTGAACATAGATTCCAACATAATATTGAACAAAAACACATGTTCTTCCTCAATCTAGGCTCACGGATTTTCAAAGAAAATCCACCAAAACTTCATTCAATCGTTTTAATACTTACACCGTTAGACTCCTATTACGATGCTCTACAAAACCTCGGCTTTGATTTTTACTTTAACGGAAGTTTTCCGAGATGGGTTACTATTCATCTAACTCAAGAAATCATAGAATTCTCATTTTTAAATTTGAAATCTTACCCCTAGAAGTTGAGGTTTTTCACTGGAACGCCTCAGGTTACGTTTCTACCGGACTGAACAGAAGAAATCTCAATGAAAATACTTGATTTTCCTTTCTCCATCTCTCTCTAACAACTCTCTTTTTTTTCTTTCTTCGTAACTCTCTCACGTCTCTTTCCTTTTTTTTTTCCTCTGCTACACTTTACATAAAGTATATAATGTAAGTAATGGCATTACACCATAATGTTTCATTCCTTACATATGAAGTATATAACGTGAGTCATCAAATCTCACATTTAAACGCCAGGTGGTGTTATTGCATGTGGAACTTATGTCCACCTCACGGTAATATTCTTTTACTTCTTTTTTTTTTTTTATAGCCGTACTTTAAAGATAAGCTTTTATATGTATATATATATATATATAACTTGGTTCAATCTACTTTTTTAGACTGTCAAGTACCTGGGTCAAACTTCTCATGTTCAACCAAATTCTCTTGGGTATCTCATTAGTCAATTTCTTTTTCTGAAATTATCATTTTTAATTGATTCAGAATTGTCCAAAACGCGTTCCCTTGCGGTACTCATTTTTTTAGCAGTTTTCTGCTTTAACTGACTCAAAATATATATAACTTGGTTCAATCTACTTTTTTAGACTGTCAAGTACCCTGGGTCAAACTTCTCATGTTCAACTAAATTCTTTTGGGTATCTCATTAGTCAATTTCTTTTTCTGAAATTATCATTTTTAATTGATTCAGAATTGTTCAAAACGCGTACCCTTGCGGTACTCATTTTTTTAGCAGTTTTCTGCTTTAACTGACTCAAAAAAATTTTATTTCAGGAACTTTTACTATTTTCCCTATTTCTAATATTTATACTCTTTTTCTAGCTGGTCATTTGGTCACATACCAAATATTTCAGTTTTTCATAACTAAAATATACCCGCTAAAATTTTTAACTTTTAACTAATATCTCACTATTCACAAGTGATATTTACGAATTTTCTTTGTAAAAATATTCGTATTATAACTTTACATATTTTAGAAAATTTTATCTCGTACATAAAGTTTTTACATAATATTTTCTTGATTACATCAAAATTTTACTACTTATTATTCTGAAAAAAATTTCAATCAAATACCGGACTGTTCGGATTAGACTTAAATTTTGTCCGATCATTACAATTGTCCTAACTTGAGTTAACACGTGTCCAATATATATTGAATCTGACCCCAACACTCGCTATTCAAAAAGTATCAGAATTCATTTTAAGTCATAAATCTGGCGTCTCGCAAAAAGCTCTATCTTTATTGGCAAAAGAAGCACAAATATCAAGACCATTAAACCAATAGGATTTATCATGTTTATGCTGTAACCAACTAATAGTCAATTACCTTCCCGATAGTGTGCGAAACTCTATAGACTATAAAATCTCAGAGAAAAAACTCAAGATGGTAAAACATATTATTTATGTTACTATACTTAAAAATAAATAATTATTATTAAATTAATATAGAGAAAATAAAAAGTCGCAATGACACTAAATTATTTAAAATGACATAAATATAACTTGAAAAAATGAGTGAAATGACACATGTTGTAGGGTAAATTTTGGTACTCTAAATTAGGCATCGAATGGGACCCTCGCACCATAAAGAAGGGCATTAAGTAAGTGATCGAGGACAACCTTGCCC